GTTTGCTTTAGTTCATGATTGTAAAACCTAGATGGACTGTTGAAACAGAGGTGCAGGACCATTTTAACTCGCATATGATCAACACGTCTGTTCTGTTGTTCCTCTTAGATGCATCATTACAGGAAAAACTCTCCTGTTACATCACCCATTAACTCTGTGTCAATAAAGTCCATCTACAGTTTTATTTCACTCGTTTTCTTCACTCCTCTGTTTATTTTATCCAATAGAAACTGTTAATGTTGGCCGTTGGCTCTGTCGTTCACCCTCTGACATGCCAACCACAGCTATCTGTGGTCCATTTGCTGCTGGTCGTTACTCCGCCGCCGCTGCTGCTAATTTGTGGAAAGTGCAAAAAAACAAACTGCCATGTAAACCACTGTTGAGCCTCACTTTAGCCACATTGAGGATGTGGAATAACAGCAGCGCTAATGTTTGCTGCACTTCGGCAGGATCCAGATTTCAGGTTGATGTTCGGAGAGAAAGCAAGAACCAGAACAGCTGTTCTGTTCTCCTCCTGACTCTGGATGTGTTTTCTTTTCTTACAGCTTTGGAAGTTGGTACGCATGTGTGTGTCTGTGTTAAGTTCAGCCCATCTGTGTTTCTTTACCTCCCCCTCCTCCTCTGCACACACATCCAGTCCTATTTTTATTCCCGCTTAGCTTCGTGCCACATAACTTGGCAGCGACGCGACCCCTGTGTCGAACACGCCTGCTCCACATGTAAAAATACGACGGCCGCCCAAAGAAAACACTCAGCTTCATTGAAAAAAACAACGAGTGGATGAACTCGGAGGACTTGTGGGTCTGCTGATTAATGGACTTGCCTCTCTGATACGTGTTTTATAGAAGTATTTAGCAGAAAAGGGAATGGACCGTGGAGAGACGGCCAAGATTCCTTCTTTATAGCCTTAATGAGCTGTTGCAACGGCTGCATGATAAGTTAATCGCTGAAATGAACTGCCATGGTGCATTCTGTTCATACGCCAAGTTTAATCACCTCTCAGTCTTTATTATGTTTTTTTATTTATTTATTTATTTTTTTTTGTGTATTTATTGACATATGTTCCATCTCTTGTCAGTCTGCAGCACCAGCTAATAATTAACTTCTAATTAAGTTGTTTCTGTCAGGAGAGAGAAAAAACGTAATTAGATGGCGATTAAGCAAGCATCCATGAAAAAAAAAAAAAAAAATCAAGCTTTAAGAAAAAAAGACATTTAGAAAAAACTCAAAATTGAAATTTTAGGCCAAACGTTGAAGTCTATATTATTTTAACTTGATATTCAGATTTTTTTTTTTTTTACAGCTTTTATGAATCTAGTGGTGACTTAGAAAATGTAATAAACTTTTAATGTGAAAGTTTTAATTAAGAATCTTAATTTTCATCCAGAGCTTAATGTCCTCAGTAGGGAAATGTGTCATCTTAGTTTCCATTTAACCCTCTTTCCTCTTTGGACGGTTACAGTGTGAGTTTCTAACCCCCAACTTTATAACCATTCAACCAGTTTCAAACTCTGACTGCTGCTAACTAGACTTAAGGTTACATTAACATTAAACTTAAATGAGAATCATTATCATCACTGCACAGAACCTACAACGTATTTGGTTAAGATTGAACATTAAACTAACATTGAGCCTCTATAAGCCAACTCTTTTCCCATATTTCACAGCTAGCTTAATTTTCAGCTGTTGAAAAAGCTTCTTTCTCACACGGCACATCACATCAGACAGGTTTATTAGTTACTGTGTCCATGTCTCCATTGAGCCTTTTTTTTTTTGCATCAGCGAAGAGAATCTGCAGCGTTTTCTAATGCATCTCTGCTAGATTACCGTAATGCACTTTATTTTGGTGTTACTGGATCTTTAGTTGCCCGTCTACAGACAGCTCTAATTACTGCTGCACAACTTTTAACTGGGACACGCAAGTTTGACCAGATCTCCCCAGTTTTAAGTCCACTACACTGGCTGCCAATTAATTTGAGGATTTAATTCAATTAATTTTATTTATATAGCGCCATGTCACAACACGTCATCTCAATGCACTTTTCAGTTCACCAGATCATACAGTCAAATTGATTCAAAGTTTCCTAAGGAAAACCAGTTGCTTGCATCGACTCATTGACTGGAAGGCAATCCCTCACACTAAAAATGTTTGTAGCGACAGTGGAGAGGAAAAACTCCCTTTTAACAGGAAAAAACCTCCAGCAGAAACAGGCTCGGTGTGAGCGGCCAGGATTCATTTTTTAGTTATTTAACTCAGTTTTAAGTCTTTATATGCACCATATATCTCTGATGTCCTACATCATAATGTGCACCTTCATTCTCTTAGGTCAGCTAATCAGTTAACCCTCTGTAGCTGGTCCCAAACTCTGGAACATGCTGCTGCATATCAGGCAGGCGGACCGTTTTTTAAAGTCTCCTCTTTTCTCTCTGGTGTTTAATACTCAAAAGGATGTTGGTGTTAGTTTATTTTATGTTCTCTATTATATTTTCCATGGTGTTTTTACCTTTTTGCTGCATTTAACAGTGTTTGTATCTCACATTTTGTGCAGCACTTTGTTCCTGTTGGTTTAAAAGTACTATATAAAAAAAGGTTGAATTGGATGTTGTGGAAACGTCTATAGAAGCAGCAGTTTCAGTGATCAATATTAAATATCAACAATTTGAACAATATGTTGCATAGACTAAGATCTGCTTTGAGTAATTTTTAACTAAAAACTCAATTTCTACTCATTTATTTTCTTTAGAATAATAAAACAGGACTCATAAATCTCTGCAGAAAGTAAAAGTTATCTTTTTTGAATATTTTTTATTAATTGTTGTAATCTGGGGAGGTGTTACTATTTTCTGTCTTTTTTTATATTGTCGATTTATTTTACATTTAATAATATTGAATTTGTGTTTGACTTTCATGCTGATGTTCTTTAAGGCCCCAAAAGTCTGTGGAAATAAAAGTAAACATCTTGTTTTCACAGCAAAGATGGTAAAATAATAATAAAAACAAAGCTGTTTAATTTTATAACGCATGGACTTTATTTATAATAATCTTTTAGCTAATATAAATACATTTTCTTGAATTTTAAATTCAATATAAAAAACATGCCTGAATATAGCGGTCATTATCATGTTAATCAGAATGTTCATTATTTAATTTTAAACTTGGCCAGAAGGTGAGGACAGGTGTGACAGGCTGCACCTGTGGACCATCTGAGGGTGCAATACTATCCCTCACCACCGGGGGGCCCCAGGACAACCAGCTTTCCTTCCAGCTTTACAGCAGCTCCCCTGCAGGCTCCTTATTTGTTTAATTTCTGATGTTTATCTTCTGAATTCCTTGATAAATTGAAATCATAAAATGCATATTAAGTAGCCATGATGTGAGTTTGTGATTATTTGTTATATTGTAAAAAATCAGAGTAAAAGGTATAAATGCAGAAAGAAACGTCCTCCTCGAGTCGGATGAGTAATCCGTGCTTGTTGATTCTGATCTATTGATTAAATAATTAATTGTCACAAATGTTTATATATTATAAATCTAACTGAGGCAGAGTGTCTGTGCAACGGAAAATGTTTAGTATTTTAGCTTAATGATTTATTAACAGCTGGTTGGTGATTTTCTGTAAATGTCTCTCCTTCCTGCAGGTGTCTGAACATGCAGAGCTCAGCTGGATCCTCGGCTGCCTGACCAGCATGCCCCGGCTACGCCACCTACCGCAGTGGAAGGTTAGACCCCCCCCTGCATCTGTTTCACTTCATTCATTTCTGTCTCATCTTCCTTTTCTTGACTGAATAATCTATCAGCATATTATGAACCGTTTATAACTATTTATACTTGGTTCAAAACAACCCTGTTTAGCTTACTTCCTAACCCAGTCCTGGTATGAAAAAAATTATTAATACTCTGGGTTGTGCAAATACTATGTAAGTTAAATCAAATTTATTTTTGTTGTTGTTTTTATTCCAGGAAAATAATCAGATTAATTAGAAGAAAACAACACTTTAGTCTCTATTAACACTTTTATAGACAAGCCATTAAATATAAAACTGTATAAAATGAACAATGTTTTTGTGCTGATATTTGATTGTTAAAAATGTACTAGTAAAGTAAAAAAATGTCTAAATATTGACCAAAGTATCAATGTTTTAGCAGCAACTGCTTAAATTAACCACAGATCTCAGATTAAGAGGATGTCTTCAGTAGAAAAATTAACATGTTTTAATGTTAACTAGAGTCGTTAACTCAAGCTGCTGGTCCTAAAATGATTAAATGAGCATCTTATCATTTATTGTTTTCACTAAAGTTTGATCAGGTTGTTGTTTATTTCAGTGTTTGAAGGTACGATGTCGGCACATCTGGCTTCTTCTGGTCTTTGCAGAACAAAACCCGCATTTCAAATGAAATATTACCCAGCAGTTTCTGGAGTGACGCTTGAATTGAACTAAAGTAGAAAGTCAGCCTTATTGTTAATTAAAGACATGTTTTCTGTGTTATTTAGTGAACTTTTAAAAAGTAAAAGCTTTATTCAATCGCCCAGCATTACATTTGATGGACTTGATTTAGCCAAACTGTAAAAAAGCTCAGTTCACAAACAGTGAAGCATGTAAATATGAGCGCAGGTCATTGAAGCCACAGTCACGAGTTTTTTCGAACCAACCGGTAGTCGAAGTTATTTGCAGATGTTAAAAAAAAGTAGGAAAAAAAACTCACATATTCCTGACTGTCGATCTTAGACTGTCACCACCTAGAAAATGCTACAATAGAGTGAAACGTCATTTACGGGCGGGTTTATTTGTGTCAGCAACAGGAACAGCTTTATATCAAAACCAGCAGCATAGTTTTCTCTCTTTTTATATAATATAATGTAGGAAAAAATCCATCCATGACGCAAACTGTTCATTATTTCTATTTATAGTTTTATAGCTTTAGATGCATATTTCATGTCTGTCCCTGGTGCTCTGCACAGCTTTACGACTCGGATCTTCCTGCCTCCCTCCAGGTCCAGATTCATGTTGCTGTAATTGTTGCCACGTCTCAGCCTGACTGTGTTTTTTAATTTCCTGGGTTACCACCGTCTGCTTTATTCTTACATTTTAATTAACCTGCCAGAGTTTTAAAATCACAAAGTCCCAGGTCTATCCCAGTCCTCCTGTATTAATAAAGTGGGAGAGCTGCAGCCTCCCTGCTGCTCCCTGTTAATAGAAAACACCTTTTGTTTATTCAGCAGATGAGCCGATGTCAGACACGGCTCATCAAGTCACGCTTCACGCTTTCGCATCAGAGCTGAGGGTCGTAAAAGTGAAAAGGATTCTTTGTAAAATTGGAAAGAAAGAAAGTCCACTTGTTCTCTCTTTTCTTATTCCTCACTTTTTTCCAATTTGATGAAGATGAAGAGCAAGCAGAAGAACGAGGGCAGCGTTGGACTCTACACGTATCCGGTCCTGCAGGCTGCCGACATCCTGCTCTACAAGTAAGATCTTCCCTTCTGGTTTGTCACCAATTATTTTAAATCAAGCATCATTACTTCTATTCTCTACAGCTAATGTGAGTTTAACTTTCATTTGAGCTACAACCCGTTAAATCATTGGATACCTAAATCTGTGAAGTCAGGAAAAGTAGAAAACTTGACAGACTAGTTAGAAGGATTGCTTTGAATGAAACAGGTTCAGAAAAACAGCCTGTTGCTGAAAGCAGAGTTTGTAAAATTTGTTTTTGTTAGAATGAACCGACATCTGCAGCCATCCTGCGCTAGATAAGACAATTTATTCTTTTAATGTTCAAGCCAAAACGGTTGTCTGTGTTTAATCGAATACAGAGAAAAAAAATAAAGGAACAAATAAAAAAAAAAGTTTGGACTCAATATAGTGTTTTTTTTGTTGTTGTTTTTGTTTTTTTAGTTTTTTTTTACGGCACTAGTGGCTCGTTTTCTGACAGTAGGCTGACAGGAAGGGAGTATGAGAGAGGGGGGGAGAGACAGGCGGGAAAGGTCCACAGGCCGGATTGGAACCCGGGTCAGTCGAGGACTAAGGCCTCCATACATGGAGGTCATGTGCGCTAACCAACTGCACGCCAGGACTTAATTCAGTTTTACTGCTTTTCTCTGTTTATTTTAGTAATTAAACTTGGATGAATGAATGTCAGGAAATATTTTTGGTTTATTTTTATTTCTCTAAAGGACCAAAATGGTTGTGATGAACTTGGCCGTTTTATCAAAATAAAAGCAGCAGAAGGAGAAGTTTTCAAACCTTCTTTTCCATAAAACCGATTTTGGATTCTTCCATCAAAAAAAATAAAATAAAAATCAGACCATTCTTCTTTGAACCGGTAAAATATTTCACACATAATGTTTGAAAAGAAATCTAGATTTGATGCTGATATTCCCTCTGCCAGTAGAAAACCTAAAAGAGTTTTGCCCAGAAGTATTCACACCCCGACAGACTTGCAGGTAGAGTTCTCTTTATCCAGAAGTTGGTTTGTGATTGAATTAGACTCGGGCGTTTTTTTTTTTTTTATAGGTTTTCAAACCATATTAATGTTTATTATCCTCTAATTAAAATAAAATGGTCTTTCATAAACAAAAATAAATAAATAATTCATACACTTCTCAATAATAAACAGAAAAATCTTTAATCTGAACCCTTTTAACTTTCCCAGAGCAGCTTGTGTAATTTTAACTCTATTTTCTTCACTTTTATTTTTTGTTATAAGCCAAAAGTCTTGGAGGTCAGAAGGCCTATGTGTCATCACCCTAATCTTTAGCTCCAGTACTAAAATGTCAACATATTAGTCAGATTAAAAGGTTTAAATGTAAAATCTTTGTTTATAGATGACCCTCATGGGGTTAAACACAGCCCTCCCTGGCGTCTGCCTCGCTCAGTATGAGCTCTACGGTCATTCTGGAGAGAGAGAACAGATTATAAATTAATGATCCCAGTGGACGAAGAAGCTTCTCTGGAGGAACTTTATGATTATAAAAATAAAAACACAAAAACTCTGCGCACAGTTTACTCAACAACTGATTGATCTTCTGCCTCTGCTATTGAAAGCACAGGAAAAAAACACATCAGCGTTCTAAAAACCGGTTTGTTATTTAAATGTCTTCACCTTTAATTTGCTCTCTTTTTGCTCAGTTCTCCATCAAAGATAATTAAAGATTTTTGCAGAAAAGGATATTCTCTCTTCCATTTTAAAGAGGCTTCGGTTTGGAAAATAAGACAAAACAACGGAATAAACACACACCCACTCAGGGAGGGGTCGTGTTTTCCATAGCCTGATGTTTTTACGTCCGATCCTGCCGACCTCACCCTCCACTCCCCCTCCGAAGGGTTCTACGTCCTAACCAGACGTTCTCATTAAGCTGCCACTTTTTTATTTCTTATTTAGAAGATATACTTTACAGAGCGACTTGTTTATGAACATTTGGCTTTTGTTTGCTCTTTGTTCTGCGGTTGTCGCAATAAAGACACATCAAGCTCGAAATCCAGGAAAATAATCGACACCATGGAGATTTTAAAAATGACAAATAATTAAAGGCATTAAAAATGTTTAGTTAACTTGCAAATTTTAAATTAGAGCATGATTTCTCAACAGAATCACAGATGCCTGCTAAAGACAAAGTAAAAGTACAACTTGACAGTATGTTAAGGTTGTCTGAGCTATTATTCTTTTAATGTGAAAATAATCCAGAAATCCAGCTCAAATATGCCATCATTATGTTTAGTGTTGATACCATGCCAGATCATCATTATATCCACCTACAGCTTTGGAATATCAATACGTTTCAGAGTATTGATATTTTTTACAACCATAATTTGTTCTTTTATTTTCTTTTTTCTTTTAAATTAACTTAAATCTTCAATTACCATATTCATATATTTTAATTAACTTAAATAGATAAATATGGGAATTTAAAAGGTTACTTGTAAGCAATTTAAGATATTTTTACCTTTTATTTGTATACTTAATGTTGCTGTTGAGACTAAATCTATGAAGTTCATTTTAATTCATAAGTATTCCTTCATCTTAACTGTGAATTTGGAGTTTTGGGGAGGAATGAAATATTTTTTTCTAAACTTTGCATGTACAAAAACATAACTTTTCAATTTTTTTAATAAAGTAGACAAACTACTTATATATCCAGGCGTATAAGCCTATATTCTCCATTTTGCTCCAGTCCATCTAAAGCTCTCTTGTGGCAGTTTTGTAATTGTAGACTTTTTTTTTCTATCTTCCAAAATAACAAAAAAGTTTTACCTCTTTGAATTCTGAAGAACAACAACCCGTGCTCTGTGAATAAAACATTTAAAATCTCCTGCATTCTCAGTTTTGCTCCAGTTGATCTAAAACAAATTCAAATCATCCCACATTATATTTCTATTCATATTTCACATTCACTTCACATTCACAGTGACGGTGCACAAATACTTATGATTTGATGTGAATCAGACTTTAGCTGAGGCTCTGAATGTGTTCAGTTTCATTTCTTCCTTTTTAATGTTAATCTTGTCTATTTTAGGTCCACTCATGTCCCTGTAGGAGAGGACCAGGTGCAGCACCTAGAGCTGGCTCAGGATCTCGCTCGGATCTTCAACAACCATTATGGGGAACTGTTTCCTGAACCGCGTGCTCTGCTCAGTAAGAACAGCAACAACCAGTCAGTTAGCATGTAGGGCCGAATCCTTCTCTGCCTCTGCACCTTTCAACTTGCTTTATTTATGGGATTTAATCCTTTCTTAAACAAAAGCATGTTAAGTACATTTATGCATATTTATTAGGAGATTTGACCACTTATTTAAGAAAATAATTCAAATTAGTTTGATTTAAATGCAGTTTTTAGTTTCTGCTCTGATTTAAATATGTTTAGACTTCTAATTTTAGATATAAATTAATACTTAAGTTTCCTGCTTTTAAAATAAAACTTAATACTTTTATTTCCTCCTTTTGTTTTTAAATATCTGAATTTAGCTCTGTATTAAAAATAATCTGCCTATACAGCACTCTGATACAACCGAGGTTCTTTTAAATTTCTTCTTTTACTGTATATTAATTAACTTTCTCACAATTGCAACATTTTTTTTCTCCTTGTTTGCTTTAGGGGTTAAAAATTGGCAAAAATTTGCTGATACTAGAGCTGAAAAGATCAATTAGACTATTCAGGATTCATTTATGGAAATAATCATCAACTAATTTAGTGATCGATTCATCTTTATTTACAGTGTAGAGACTGTAAAACATGCCTTTAGCTTACAGAGCGACCCACTTAGAGCAGGAATTATACAAAGATTGGAAAAAATATTTAAACATTTTGCATTTAAGATGGAAAAAAAAAAATAGAAATTCTTCTGTCAATTCTACTATCCAGAACTCCTTAGGTGGAAAAGTTTTCTTTTCACCTTGTTAATTAAAAAAAGTCTTCTTTGAAGAATCATTGGCAATCCGATACGCATCACAATACATTGAGAGCTTTATAATAATATAGCTCTGGTAATTCTTCTACTGCTGGTGTTTACCTATAATTTTTTTTAATGTTTCAGATCTATTGGGCCATATTTTGAATCAATACCAAACTAATCAAATTAAAAACTGATAATATTGGGATTTTGAATTTATACTTATTTTGTTTAAAGAATATTGGAATTTTGGTATTTTTATTTAATGCCAATTTTGACTAATTAAAATTATTCCAATGGTGGTATTTTGAATCTCTACAAATATTACCCAATGAAATATATCATTACTTGACAGATTACATTCCTTTCTAACACCCAGAAGTTTTTTCTGTTTTTGTTTTTTTGTTTATTCTTTCTTTTTTTTTCCTTTTTGTTTGAATTGTTTGTTTGTCTGTGTTTTTTTTTTTTTTTTTTTTTTTTTTTTTTTTTTTCGGGAGATGGATTTATTTTTTTTTTTTAAGTCATTTTTCTTTGGATGGATAGGTAGGAGGGGGTTGCTTAATTTAGTTTGTTTTTGTATTTATTTTGTTTTTTTCAGATTTGGACGTCAGAAATCCCCAAAGAAATGGAGGGAAAACTTTTGTTTGCAGATTAATGCTAAGCTAACTTTATATAAGTTGAACCCCATTCAACAGCTTCCCAGCTATAAAGCTGTTGGAACAGAAAAGTTAGGGACTCTTTGTCCCCTGGGGTTAAAATAAAACTGAAATGAAATCCAAATCCAAGCATCAATCCCCTTATATCCAGTATTAATATTTTTGCGGTCATTATTCTTGTTTATGTTTTAAAATGATCGCTATCTGCTCCTAGAGATGAAGTCTAATGGTGTCAGAGGAAATGGCTGACATGTCTGTGGATCTCACCCACATCCCTCTGGGATTCTCCCTGATTATCACCATCATAAAAGCAGAGGATGAACTCAATAAAGCTCCGACTGATATCTATTCATCCTGTTGCAAAAGAAGGATCCAGGGCTGATAGCTTATCATGTAAAATAAAAATGTGTTCAGCCCTTCTGATCTTTTTCATGTTTTTTGTCTGTATTACATTTTAGTTAGATTAGCAGGATTTTATGTGATAGCTATTCTCTTTTCCTGTAGTAGTTGTTCTAAACATTGAATTCTGACTTTATATCCAGCAGCCGTTGGTCTGTCAGATGAGCATACCAGCTCAGACCAGCATAGCCGTAGTCAAAACCTGACTATCCCTTTAGTTTATCCCTTTAATTTTGTATGAAAAATACACTTTAGACTACCTCAACGGGCCTGTATCCCTTTATTCAGGTACAAAAAACTTTTTAATTATTTACTTTTTTGTGTTTTTTCAGGTTTATTGCTATCTCACCTTAAAGTGTTTTTTTTTTTTTTACATGAATACAGGAATACACGCCCATTGAGGTAGTTTAAAGTCTATTTTTTGTACCATACTAAACAAATCTGACATCTTGCGCATGCATATTGACTAGGGTTGCCAATTCCCTGGAAAACAAAAGGGACACCTCATGTGCGTGTCAGTGGACCTGTTTGCCTTTACCCCTCCTGGTGTGGTGATTTTTTTTAGCCCCTCTTTGTGTGTCAAATGTTTTTTTTAAACTATTTGATTCAAATCTGAATTGAATTAGATTCATATTTGTGGGGTCACATGAACACATGGAAAACAAATTATTATGCATCAATTCACTTTATTACAAAATAACAAAGTTTGTTGAATAGAATAAGTATCTTAAATATAAGCCTGTCCTGCTTAACTTCACACTGTAAAAATTAATATAAAACAATAACAAAATAGAGCACATTTTTGGTGCAACAGCAAACTTGTGCAAACTTGTAAACAAATTTGTGCCTTAAGTGCAATGACTGTAGTCTACAGTTGTAAAACAGAAAATAAATCATTAGCTCAGTGCTACATTGTGTGGCGATAGACTACTTTTTGCACTTATATTTCCTCTGAGCTCTTGCAGAAGTGAGGAGTTGTCTTTGAGTGCTGCAGAGTAAAGCTGAGTGAAGCAGCGTCAGCATTTAAATTACTACGTTTGTCCCCCATTCTGCTCTGTTGTCTCCGGCTATCTTCTCCGTGTGCAACACTTGGCTCGACCAATGGGATGAGGGTATTCTGGATCGTTACGTATATGTTGTCAGCTCATTGGTCACAACGCAGGACAGGGCCTGGAAACAAGTTTACCATAAATTTTGTATCTAACGTGCCCTTGTTCTTCGTTTTCCATTAGCTTTTTACTCTCACAGTAATACGGGACAAAGCGCCTTCCTTTTCCACTAAATACCGTACAGGTACTTCTATTTCTAAATACAGAATGATTCTGTTTTTCAAGGGACGGTTGGCGACCCTAGTATTGACTATAGGTATGCTGATCTGACAGAACACCATCTCTGTCATCAATTGACAATTTTATAAACACGATAGACAGAAGAGAAAAAAAATACTTAACTGTAGCTGCACTTATTAGAAATTTAAAATTCTGTGATAAACAATAAAGATGAGATGTGTCAGACTTCATTGTTCTCAATATAAAAAGTGAAGCTAACGTTAGCTTAGTTCATACGAAGTTCTATTTTCTATTTTTATTCTAATTTCACATTTATCACTTTAACACGTATAGCTACTGCTGTCAGAGCATATTCATAACTAAGTGATTTAATGATGACTTTATTTAACCAATTTTTACTCTTAAAGAGAACAGCTATTAGCTAAAGATGCTTTGCTAATGTTACTTGCCGTGTCACTACCTGATCCATCCCGGAAGCACGATCAGTCCTCACAAATAGATATACATCCTGGTGTCCATAAGTAATGTAATTATGGTATTACTTATTTCTATCCTTAACTCTCTAAAGAATGCTAATACACATCTTTAAACATTTTTTTATGACTTGTGAGACAATTTTTATGCTTTTTACATTTTTTCATTAAACTTCTGTCATCATGGGACATGCTCAGAACAGTCCGGTAAAATATGATTAAACCATGTTTATCTGCATTTTATTTGTTTCTTTCTTTAGATTACGCACTATATAGCATAATGTTAACACGAAACAAAAACATAAAACTCAAAAAGTCTAGATTTATGTTTAAATCCAAAGCCAAAAATTTAGCCACTGGATGTATCGTAGCATCCCATTTCGGGTGCAGATCGGGCAGAGACGAGTGATAAAACGGAAAGGATTTTAAGGCATTTATTTTCTTAGGAAATACATTATTAACCTTTAACACATTATATTTTGGTACGTTTACTATTTTTGGGGAAGGAAAACGTCATTTAGGTATTTTTAACAAACTAAAATCGAGGACAACTCGGATGTGTATCTGATGCGCAAATGAGCCGATGGCGCATGCGCGGAAAGGATCGTGCTTCCAGGACGGATCGGGTAGTGACATGCAGCAACATTAGGAAGTGGCGGGATTTCCTGAAAAGTAGCCAATCACAGGCTGTTTACTTTCTCGGGCGGTTTCACCCTAAAGGGACAAAGACGGAGATGAGCGCCCAGAAAAAGATCTCCTTATGGATAGAGAATCCACTGGAACATTAAAAGCAAGAGAGAGCATAGAAGCAGCATGGACTCATGGTTGTGATTTATTGGGGGCATCATGAGTTTAAATCTGCACTCATAAAACATTCAAAATGCTGGGGGGTATTTTACATGCATGTTGTAAATAAAACTACTTGTATGAGTATTTATTAGGCGTGTCACTCATAGATGCTGTCCTTTATTACCTGCCTTACAACCATCCACTACTTTGTGTTGCTCGATCATAGAGGATCTTGATGAAATAAAATGCAGTTTGTTGTCCTATTGTGTTGAATCATGAAAAAGTTGAAGGGGTGTAAACATTTCTTCAGGGTTCGTTTGACTCCTTACTGTCAAACAAATCAATGCTGGAAGGAACAACCTTCCCTTTGAAAGCCAACCAAAGCCTCAAAGGCTTTTTAATCCCCTTAATAAAGATGTCTCCAGAGTGATAAACAGGACACATGTGGACAACTCATATGGAAATTACAATATGGCGGAAGGCAGGCCAACGGAGAATGACAAAGGAGAGGAAACCGTGTCTCTATCGTCTACTCATCAGTTCACACTGTGATAGGTCTGCCTCCCATCAGCACACCCACAGCAGGCGGCCATATTGGGCCAGCCATTCCCACTCCTCCCTGCTTGGGGCCTGTTATTGGATCTTTCCACTGTTCTGTAGTTTCATCTTCAGCTACAATGCTGAAAAATTTAACTTAAACTTTTGAAAATAATCAGAAATAACTTATTTCTGTATGTTTAGATCTACTGGAGACTAATTAGATCTAGATTTCTGATTTGATTCAGGTTCTGTTTTTGTTTCTAAGGTTCTGTTTTGGTCTTTCTGAAACCTCTGCTTTCCTGATGTTTCTCAAATAGTAAAAAGTTTTTTGTCTCACAGCATGTTTTTCCTTCACAGGTTCGACCCAAAAGGTGAAGTCTCTCCGCAACCCCTCGGCTAAAATGTCAAAGTCCGACCCCCAGACAATGGCCACCATCACCATCACCGACTCTCCAGATGACATCGCCCTGAAGATCCGCCGCGCCGTAACAGACTTCATCTCCGAGGTCACCTTTGACCCGGAGCAGCGGCCGGGCGTGTCCAACCTGGTGACGATCCACGCCGCCGTGGCGAAGCTCAGCGTGGAGGAGGCGCTGTCGCAGGCCAGCGGGATGGACACGGGGGCCTACAAGGGGCTTGTAAGCGAGGCTGTGATCCAGAGGCTGACGCCCATCAGGGAGGAGCTCCAACGGCTGAGGGCGGACCGGGCGCACCTGGAGGGGCTGCTGGCTCAGGGGCAGCTCAGGGCGCGGGAGCTGGCTGCTCCTGTGCTCGCAGAGGTCCGACACAGAGTGGGCTTCTGCTAAAAGGCCTGGAGGCTGGAAAATAACAACATTTATGGTGTTTCTGATCAGGGCTTCGCTAACGACAAGCCGTCTGCTTCCTTGTTGTGACTCATTGAGGGGAATAAAAATGAAGGCGGGACTAGAGGTCCGCTCTGACTGAGGGACCAGTCGTATAACCCTCCTCTGAAAACAAAGCAGGACGTCTTCAGGACGATCATTTCTTTTATGTTTTGGTAGATGTCATCATTAAAACCTCTTAAACTCAGAAATGATTTATGTCACTCAGAGTCTTCAGGTGTTTGTAGCTTTAACCAAAGGTGTTTAATTAAATGAAACAGATTTGTAAATTCTTTTAAACCTGTAATGAATCTGTTGGATGAATCATTCTTTCACACCAATCCAAACATTTTCACAGCCTGGAAGTTTATGGGTGAAACTGTTTTTTTTTTTTTTTATATTTGACAGCATAAACATCTGTGTCTGGTTCTACAGGAGTGAACTGTGTCTGCAGAGACCTCTGCCCTCATTGGCTCCTAAAGGATAAATTCACCTCTTAATCCGGTCGTATAACGTTGACTGGAAATGATAGAAAAGTCCGGCCCTTAGTTCTGGTTTATTTTGAGGTGGAAAATGAGTCCATTTTAATAAATGACTGGTCAGTTTTCAACTTAATCAAAGTCTTGTTATTCTTATCTCTGCTGTTTGCACTTTACTCATCCTCCATTTAACAAGACAGCGTCTCATGTTCCAGCATCACACATTCCTCTCATACTTTTCTGCTTGGTTTTTATGTAAAGAGGCTGAATCATAAGTGCTTTTTATTTTTTTGGAAAAGGTGCTCACCTTGAAATAAACAAACTGTCCTGCTCAAAGACCCAGTGATGACATGGTTTTAGGCCCACAGCCTCACTGATACTCCACTGTATATATAAATGTCAAATATTCCTTTCCTCAGCTTCACCGTCAGTTTTTATACAGGGTTTCTGCGGGTCATTTAAAGTCATTAAAGTATATATTTTTTTTTATTACGCCTTAATTGTCATTAAAGTGCATTAAATGTGATTATCATGGCATTTAATATAATTTTTTTTTAAGTTTTTAAAAATAATTTTGTCTGGTTCCGTTCATAACTGGTTGCGCGTGTTTGAGCAGAACTGCTTCCCGAAAATGCAAATTTCAACAAAAGGGGCTGGAAAACGAGCAATTCGGGACAAGGCTGCAGCCTGTCAATGGTAAATATGATGAAGGACTTTGCAGTGTTTTTTATATATATATA